ACGCGCGGCGCGGCGGCCGGCCGGCTGCGGCGCGCGCCGGACCGCGACCGCGACCGCGACTTCTTGGGCGCGGCGGCGGCGGCGGCGGCGGGCGCCGGGCGCGGGGCCGCCCGCGACTTCTTGGGCGCGCCGGCGATGGCCGGGAGCCGGGGCGCCGCGGCGACGGACCGGCCGCGGCCGCGGCCGCGCGGGCCGTCCGCGACGCGCCGCGCCGGGACCCGCGCGACGCGCTTCGGCGGCGGCGCCGCGCGGCGCGCGTCCGAGGGAGGCGCGACGGGCGTGTGGACCCGCGCGTCGTCGTCGTCGTCGTCGTCGTCCGCCTCCTCCTGCGTCTCGTCCTGCGTCGACTGCGTGACGGCGACGGTGTCGAGGAAGACGCGCGGCGCGAGGGAGATGTCGTCGCAGGGCATGAGGGAGCCGTCGTCGAGGAGGAAGTCCGCGAACGAGCCCGCGCCGAACGAGCCCGCGCCGAGCGAGTCGGGCGCCGCGCGGCCGCGCGGCGCGTCGGGCGACGCGAGCGCGACGTCCCGGTCGCCGACGACCATGCGGCGGCTCGACGTGCCGAGGGACAGGAAGACGGCCAGGGACGGCGGGCTCCAGTCCTTGGAGGGGCAGCGGGCCTCGTAGACGAGGCCGAGCGGCGACGCGGCCTCGCGGCCGGGCGTCCGCAGCGCGCCCAGGGCCTCCGCGAGGTACGCGCCGGGGGACGCGAGGAGCGGCGTCAGGACCGGGCTGCCGGGCGCGGACGCGCGGGGCGTCGCGAAGCCGACGTCCTCGTCCTCGTCCTCCGAGTAGGCCGCCGCGGCCTCGCGCTCGTGCGACTTGAGCCACGACACGCTCGCGGCGTGCGCGCCGCGCGCCGCGTCGAGGATGGCCCCGCGCGGCGCGACGACGCGCTTGCGCGCCGCCTTGGCCGCGGCGACGCGCACGTCGCGCGGCGCGGCGCCGGCGAGGGCCTCGAGGACGACGTCGTCGCACCGGCCCGCGAACGCGCGGAACGCGTCCTCGGCGTCGACGAACCGCGCCCACGCGGGCTCGAGGACGAGCGTGTCCTGGACGGCCCGCGCCGCCGCGGCGACGCGCGCGGCGCCCACGAGGGCGCCGCCGGCGCCGCCGGCGAGCGCGCCGAGGCGCCGGTGCGTCTGCCGCTTGAGCGCCTGGCGGACGACGTCGTCGGCGACGCGCGCGTAGGCGCTCGGGCCGGAGACCTCGCCCACGGACATGACCGTCGCGTCGCACTCCGTGCGCTCCGCCAGGGAGAGGTCGCGGAGCTTGGGGACGGACCGCGCCAGCGACGTGTAGAACCGCTCGCCGAGGCGGTCGCCGGCGAGCCACGTCCGGCTGAGCTCGAGGACGACGTCCATCAGGTCCATGCGGAGCTCGAGCGACGCCGCGACGCCGATGGCCAGGTCCACGCACCTGCGGGAAAAAAAAGGTCGCGGTCGCGGTTCCGCCCGTTCGAAAACGCGCGGTTCCGCGGACGCGGGCGCGCGCTCTTCGAGGGCGTCGACGAAGGTGGACCAGGGCCGCGACGCGGCGAGGGCGGCCATGAGCATGTCGTCGAGGTTGTGGACGGTGTCCAGGGCGTCCGCGCGGGAGACCGGGCGGCCGCCGAGCGAGTCGGAAGGGCGGCCGCCGAGCGGCGCGGGCACGGGCGGGCGGACCGGGGGCCCCGAGTCCTTGGCGAGGCGCGCCGCGAGGCGGCGCTCGGCCGCGTCGCCGACGCGGCACGCGGGCGCCTCGTCCCGGGGGTTCGCGCCGGCGGCGCCGAAGACGGAGTCGGCGGAAAACGCCTTGGCCGCGAGCGCCTCGCGCGAGACCTCGAAGGACGAGGCCGGGGCGTGGGGCGCGCGGAAGGCCCGGACGCCCGGGGGCCGGGACGTGTCCAGGGGGGGCGCGGCGTCGAAGTCGGCCATGTTTGTGTCAGATGTCGTCGTGCGAATCTAGGCCTTGTGGTTCGAGGCGGCGTCGGCGTGGCGAGGACGTCCCGGGCGGCGCGTTGAGGCGGTGGCGAGGCCGGAGACGGAAGGCGGCGTTGGTGCTTGACGCGATGGGGGCGTGGAAGGACTCGTTGACAGCGACACAGATGCTCGAGAGACCTTGTGAAGAGGCGCTTATCCAGGGGGGTTCGTTGTGAAGGACCTTGTGAAATTCCCACGGTCGCTGGCGGACAAAAGATCAGCCAGACGGACCGATGGCTAACCGTAGCGTCTTCTCGGCGTCGCGCCGCTGTCAATTTTCTTCCCCAGGCCGCGGGGAACCCACGCGCTCGGGCACGGCCCTTGTCTTGCGGCGCCTGCCCATTTTTTCGCTGCGACGACGGCTGGAAGTCGAGCAACGGTCGGCGTCTTCGCGCGCGGGCAAGGCTGCGGCCGCTGGAAATCGTGATTTTGCGCTAAAGAACGACACCTCCTCTTCGATTACGTTCCTTGCATGGTATTGAACGCGTCAACGCTTACTCCGGGTGTCGAGCGTGCGATTCCGGACACCCGATTTCAGGCGCTCGGGCGCGTTCCCGACAAGCGCCCGAGCGCTTGTGTTCGGGCTGTAGACGCTGCGCTCGCCGTACCAAAGCTTGCCGTACTCGCGGAACGTATCGGCGGACCTCTTGGACGGGTTCTGGTCCGCGGCGAAGCGCTTTTGGAGCTGTTCTGCCGCCTGGAAATCTCGACATTGCCTATATCGAAGGGTTGCGGTGCTCTGGCGCAGCGCTTCGCGTCGACCGATCACCGTCGCTGCGTTCCGCCGGGCGGTCGACATCATAGAGCTCCTGCGCGAAGCTCTACGCCGTCGTCGACGACCGCAAGGCGTCCCGCACGCGCCCGGTACTACGCGCCCGGGGCCTGCGACGCGCTATGCGCTAGGGGGTCGTGTGCGAGAACGCCGACGAAGTAACAGCTAAACTGGGGTTTACGGCGGCCCCATAGAAGGCGGCCCCGCCCTAGGACTTGCGGGGGCCGCGCGCGGTCGCGAGGCGGTGGTCCTCGCGGGCCTTGCGGCCGTCGGCGCTCGTGCGGATGTGCCACTGGAGCCGGATGCTCTTCTCCTGCTGGATGAGCTCGCGGATGTGGCAGCAGCGCCGCTGGATGCAGTTGATGTGGTGGTG